CTGGGAGTTGAAGTCCACTCATCTTAAAGTGGCCAAGTTTGGACAACACTGCCTTAAGGGGTAGGTGGTCAGCCTTGATCAGAATAAGGACTGGGGTAGTGGGAGGGGGAAGGACTTTTTCCTGATGAAGCTCATTGGCCAAACAGTAAAGGCATCCCTGTGAGTAGATCAGGTCTTCCCAGCTCCTCAAGACCTGCCCTTCTGAGCCCCACAACAGCTCAGTGGAATTTCTTCATGATCCTGGGGGGCCTTTAAATCCACTCTCCAAGCAGACTGAGGTGGTAACACTCAGAATTCCTGGCCAAGCCATCCAGGGGACACCAGACCTGCCAAGGCTTCAGGGAAATTCCTGCTAGAACTTGAAAGTATGGTAACATATTCCCAACAATTGTTCTTAGATCTTCCTTCTGCATTTTTGTCCACCCTTGTAAAAAAGGCTAATCATTTAATAATTATCTGGCTTTGGGGATTTAAGCACCTGTCTCCAAGAATGCATGATGTGGAGTGTCATCTAGACAGATCTGGGGATCAATAACAACAACAACGATGATGATGATGATACTTTTCCCTTTAATCCAGGAACTTCCTGATAGGTGACTAAGCTTGTATGGACCACATGACCTGTGGGCTTCCCTTTGTCATCCTATGCCTGGAGCTCACAGTGAGGCAGGGCCAGCAAAGGGTTGCTCAGCTGTTGTCTCTAATGTCAACCAGCCATTATTTGCAGCCTAGCTCTAAAGAACTTGTGTTGGGTCCAAGGACAGCCTTAGATCTCAGAACAAGAAGCCGTTGTAGTAGTTAACTTGAGTGTGCCCTTATGATTAAGCGTAGTATAGGTGCATCAAAAGTGCCATATAAATATGTATCCCAATAAAACAATACAACAATCAATGTGAGACTTTTCCTGATGCACTAGAATAATAAAGATAAGCATTTCCCAATACTAGCCCAAGCTTAGTATGTATCTGTAGCTAATCACGAGAGATTCAGAGGCATATGCAGGATTAGATGCATTCATCAAAATGGCTGCAAAAGAACGATGTTCGCATCATGTTCATGCAAAAAAAAATTTTTTAAGTTCTTAAACTTATAGTTCAAACATTCTTTCGCTAAGGATTGAAGGAAATTTACTCGGTGCTGTCAAACTTGTCAATCCAAAGGTTCCTAATAGCTGAAAAGAAGTTAACAAGCAATTTCTGAAAGCGATTAGAAAAGGAAGTCTGCGAACTTAGTGTCCTTTCAAAGGCGCCGACCACGGTTTGAGCAAAAATGTGGCTATTCCCTTGTCTCCCAGAGCTCTAAGCCTGCCCAAGACCACTGTCTTGCAGTCTCCTCCCAAGGAGCAGCTGTCTGGAGCACTTGTGGGCAATCTCAAATCCTCTCCTTGTCCAGAGGAGAGGAATTATGAACAGCTGATCCACTTGGCAGCTTACATTCCACTACGGTCGTCAGCTCCTTTTTTCATGGAGCCATCTTCGGTCTGCCATTTCTTCCTCCAGAATTCCCCTTCCGTGTGTTTTCACTAGATATCCCTCCCCACCCCAAGAAGGTCAGGACTAGCAATTTAAACTGGTAACACTCCTGAAGACGCCAAGCCTATTTCATACCATAGTACCTCAGAGCCGAGTCATTTCATTATTATTCCTTTAGAATTTCACTTTCACACACTCTTCAGGAACTTCCCTTTTCTTGTTCCTGGGCATTCACGTGAGACCCTGGTCAATGGACAACTGCAGGTCTCCATACCTTTGAAACATTTTGTGGACCTCTAACGGTGTGCCTGATTTGTTCTACAGGCCTGGGGCAAGGAGTTCCTGTGGTAGGACTGATAGTTGAAGGTGGCCCCAACGTGATCTCGATTGTCTTGGAATATCTGCGTGAAGAGCCACCACTTCCCGTTGTCATCTGTGACGGCAGCGGACGGGCATCGGACATTATATCATTTGCACACAAGTACTCAGAAGAAGGGGGGTAAGCTGCTAGGGTATTGGGGCACAGCTAGATTTGCCCTTTGCCCTTTTATTGGGGAGAGGGTCATTTCTTTTTCTTTTTTTCAAAGGCGTTGAACCTATTTTTATCTGTTTCCCACCACCGGTAAATGAGGTATTGGTAGGAGAGGGTACCACATGCGGTTTGCCCAATCTCTGATGCTATAATGTAGTTAAACATTCTGGATAAAAGAATAGCATAATATACAGCACATAGTATGTAATATAACCTTCATTCTTGAAGCCTAACATACTTTTTAATTCCTGCTTTGTCTCCCTCAATTTTAGCATCATAAGTGAATCTCTTAGGGACCAGCTGCTGGTCACCATTCAGAAAACGTTCAACTACAGTCGGAATCAAGCTCATCAGCTCTTTGTGATTCTCATGGAATGCATGAAGAAGAAAGAACTGGTAAGGCTGTTATAGCGGTAGTATTTATGGTAGCATTCATACTAGTAGTATTATTTGGTCTGCTCGTCCCTCTATTTTTCCCCTGCAACAACCACCTTGTGGGCTAGGTTGGGTTGAGAGAAGAAGGACTGGCCCCAAGTCTCCCAAGGGAGCTTCCACGGCTAAGGGGAGACTCCCCACTCCTAGTCCAGCCCCTTCACCACTACCCCACACCGACCCTTGGGTTAAGAGAGAGGGACTGGGCCAAGGTCCCCTGGGGCATCCAGGGCTGAGGGTGAACTTGAACCTAAGTCTTCCCGAGGCCAGCGTAATACCTTCACCACTACTCCACACAGATTCTTCTACTATGAAGATAAATTAGCTAGTGCATTATTCATTGAGCATGTCCTTCTTCTGATGAGAAGGTAGGCCTGGACCAAGGCCACGGGACCTGTGGAGGAGAACCTTAATCTTTTCTGCACTTGTCTCTGCACCCATTTCCTGCTGAAAATTGCTCTTCCACTCCACCTGCCCTTTGCAGCTAACACTGGTGCTTGCTGCTCCTTAGAATAGAGGTGGATATCTGACTGGTAAGGGGACATGTCACACCCAGTGAGTTCAAATCACTGCCACGTTGTGATGAATCAGTCCAGGGGACGTGCCCCGAGCAAGGAGTGAGAACAACAGCCATAGATATCAAACAGGAACACAGCAGGACATCTGGTTTTTCAGGGAATCCCTTCTGATGATATAATCGGCTTCTCCTTCTTAAAAGCCTCCATCAGTGAATGCCTTTTTTTGTTTTAATTGTCCTCATGACAATAGTAGTTAGCAGAGGGGGGTTTTGGGGGCTTTGATTTTTTTTGCAGGAGTTATGAGACCAGTTTGATCAGATTAAATATTAATCCCCGTGTTCTTCCTGAAGATAAATGGTTGCAGAACAAAACGTCTCTGCAGCCCATTCCTTCTTCCTCTTCCACCAAATCCAGCAAGACTCCTTAGGGCTTATAAACTATGCTGCATGCTTTATCGTTGTTTCTGTATTGAAGAAAAGGAAAAGGTTAAGAATCTGATCCTTCAGCCCAGTGTTTCTCAACCTTGGCAACTTTAGGAGGTGTGGACTTCAACTCCCAACAATTCTGGGAATTGAAGTCCACACTTCTTAAAGTTGCCAAGGTTGAGAAACAATGCTTCAACCCATTCATCTGATGGAAGACACTTAAGAATTAGGAAAAAAGATCCATATGCAGGCATGAGTCCACCCTCTAGAGTCCATGCCACTGATATTATAATGGCTGGTTCCTGGATTGATACATTTTCTACATAGCATAGTTAAGGTTTGCTGGCCATTTCCTTTTCTTTTAGAGGTAGACACATATACGACTTAAAATGTCTCTTTCTTTCAAGAAAGGAGACTTTAAAAATGACTCCTAGGGAGCCCATAGATTTTCTCCATGAAAAGAACAAAATAGAGTTCTCGAAATCTTCAGCGTACAGAAGAGGAAAATGGAAAGATCCTTACGCTTTTCCTCATTGTTTCCTTTGCTGATCTTTAGATTACAGTGTTCCGCATGGGATCTGAAGGGCAGCAAGACATTGAGATGTCCATCTTAACGGCTTTACTTAAAGGTGAGCTTTCCATGCAGGGTGTGAGAAGGTGTGGGGAGGTTGGGAAAGGAATGGAAGGCAAAGGAGACCTCAACAATCAAGAGAGAGGGAAGGTGAGTTAATTGGCAGCTTCTCTCGTAAAGGGCAGCTCAGCCCAGGTGGGAAGAAAGCTGGGGAGAAGCATTTCAGATCCTTCAAAGAGACTCTGCCTTAATGAATGCACTAATAAGGGAGGGTGGTAAATTCCTCTTGTGGTTCCCAAGATCTGTATTGACCCCAGAAGAGTATTAAAGATGCTTCTTTGAAGTCTGTGTAGTTCTAGCTTCCTCTAACTGCCCCACTTGGTGGAGCTTGACACAGGGAATGTAGGCACTGAGAAAAATAATACATCCCCAATTTTTCATTTTAGGGTGATCTAAACAATGACAAAAGAAGGACTGGACATTATAGCCATAAGTCCTTTCTTTCATTTGTACAAAAATGTTGGCCTGTGCTTGCTTGTTTCCTTAGGTACCAACGTCTCTGCACCAGATCAGTTGAGCTTAGCTCTGGCCTGGAACCGGGTCGATATTGCACGCAGCCAAATCTTTGTCTTCGGGCACCATTGGCCGGTAAAGATGTCTTAGAGTCAAACCTTCTCCTCTTGATATGGATGTGAGAAAAAGAACCAGACTCTTTCCATTCAAATTGCCTATACAGGTAGTCCTTGACTTACGACCACAATTGGGACCGGAACTCCCATCGCTAAGTGATGCAGTCATTAAGTGAGTCTTGCCTGATTTTACAACCTTTTTTTGCCAGAGTCATTAAGTGAATCACCATAGCTGTTAAGCGAATCACATGGTCGTTAACCGAATCCAGCTTCCCCTATTGACTTTGCTTGTTGGAAGCCCCCTGGGAAGGTTGCAAATGGTGATCATGTGATCTTGGGATGCTGCAACTGTTGTAAGTGCAAGGACTGGTCGTAACTCATTTTTTTTAGTGCCATCATAATTTCGAACAGTTGTTAAACAAATGGTTGTAAGTCAAGGACTACCTGTATATAGATTTCCCCTTTCAGAGGAGAATCCTTGCTGGAATCCTTATGTTGTTATCTTAACCTTCTTCTTCATAACCAGAACGTTGAGGGATTTGTTCTTGGGATTAACCACTTCTGTCCAGGCTACTACTAGATGCCTTCCAGCAGCACCCTGCAGCAATGAAAAAGGCCTTGTACAGTAGCTGGCCTTGTATAGTGGGTGCTTACTTTTCAGCCTCTGTCCTTTGTTAAATGTGGGTTGCCCAACCATGTCATTCCACCAGCCAAAGTTGCATCAGAAGAGGAAGAGAAGGAAGAAATCCAGCATCGTTATATATGCAAAATGGGGGGGGGGGGGTTAAAGGAGACAGCAGGCATTGGGTTTTACCCCCACCCAACTATCCTCCATGTTCTTTACTCTCCAGCCACTGGGAAGCCTTGTTGTCCCAGATGGGACATTTCAGGAAAAGGAGAAGAAATCTCCAGCACCTCAAGCGAAAGGAGCAAGAGGGAAAGGGAAGGGGAAAAAGAAAGGTGGGAAGCAGAAAGAAGAACCAGAAGAGGAACTGGATCCAAGGAAACTCGAACTGTTAAACTGGGTGAGACTGGAAAGGGCTCAGTGGCTCCTTTCAACTTTGCCAAGGCTAAAATGTTCTTTTTGTCTGCATCAGCAAGCTACCCTGAACCTTTTCCTCTGTATTTAGCACCAAAACTCACCTGAAACTCAGTGTAAGTGAGGTGAACCTTTGGCTCTGCATAACAATTTGTGGCATAAACTGCTTTCCATGTGCTCTGTTTGCTAGTCCTTGAGATCACTGGCTTAATTCATTGGCTTCATCCTTCTACCCAGCTTCGCATCATGTAAAAATAGTGCCCAGAAGGTGCACTAAGAGGACCCTTTCTGGGCACCAACTCTGAAGACTCCCTTGCACCTTGAAAAACAAGTCCCACTGCCTACCTTTACAGGAAATTCCCACCAAGCATGTGACCATTACAATAGCCTGGGAATAATCAAAGCTAAACAAATGGCTCAGGCTTTGGGGATGCCCTGGACCCTTCTAGAGTGTGGCTAGCCAGCTTCTAGGCAGCTCTTACGCTGAGACATGATTAGTAAAAATCTCTGCTGCCTGCAACTTATGGGATCTCAGTAGTGTGCATCTGTTCCTCACAGGAGGAAAGGGAAGTCACATATGTGTTAGCTAGCTAACTAGATGATAGATAGACGATAGATAGATAGATAGATAGATAGATAGACAGACAGACAGACAGATGAGAGAGAGAGAGAGAGAGAGAGAGAGAGAGAATATATATTTTAAAAAGGAATGCATCCAGAGATGGTCTTCAGATAATGAAAATACTGGGCAAAGCTGACATTCCCACATGACTTCCTCATAGCAAATGTATTTGCCCACCACACCTAGTTCCTGGATTAGCCCATTTTCTGGGTACCCACAATACACTAAATCATAAACTAACCAAACTAAGCTAGGGTGAATGAACCCCAAACTAGGTTCGGTTAAGGTTCTCACAGTACCCTAAGCCATGAAAAAGGAAACCAAAGCTAAAACTAACCCGGTTTTGCACATTCTCCCCAGGTACCCACCAGGTTTTTGACCAGCGTAGGCATGGTGATCCTTTGCATTTATAGGGCGTGCTCCCTCAGCATGTGCTTTGTCCCTGCCTCTTCGTAGGTAAATGCCCTGGAGCAAGCAATGCTAGATGCGCTGGTCCTGGACCGTGTGGACTTTGTAAAGCTTTTGATTGAGAATGGGGTCAACATGCAGCGGTTCCTCACCATCCCACGGCTAGAAGAGCTTTACAACACTGTGAGTGACATTTGGAAGTTTCCTTTCAAACCTTGGTTTAAAACCAACCTTGGCTGGCAACAGGGACATGCAGGTAGATTTTGGAGTAGGAGAGGAAAGCAAAAAGCCCAAAGGGTTGCTGAGTGCCATGGGCTGGACTAAGTCTTGGAATCATCTGCTGCTTTTGGAAGTGGCAGAATGGATCCTGTGACCTTCCTTCTATCACAGGCTGAGGTCTGTTAACCCTCCAGAGCAGTGTTTCTCAACCATGGCAACTTTAAGATGGGTGGACTTGGCTGGGGAATCCTGGGCGTTGAAGTCCACCCATCTTAAAGTTGCCAAGGTTGAGAAATGCTGCTCCAGAGAAATAGATCTAGCAGGAAATTGCAGGGCAAGAGGTACCAGAGAGCCAGAGGCTAGGAACTGAAATGTCCATCATGGTTCTTCGAAAGAGAAGAAGTTAGAGGGAGAAGAATTGGGAAAAGAAATGGGCAGAGCTTGAGGGGGAATTGCTAAGGCTTGGTGGAGCATGATCTTGCCATGTTGCATGAACCAGGTCTTTGTATTAAACCAGAATAGATATCCTTTTCTTGGGCAGAGCAGATTGGGTAGACCCAGCAACGCTGTTTGTGCAAGGCTTAACGTCTTGCATAAACTCTCTCTAGAAGGAATACCTTTAATAACCCATTGTCATTGTGAAAGAAAACCATGGTATTCTGTTTTTCAGAGACTTGGCCCACCAAACACTTTGCATCTGCTTGTGAGGGATGTGAAAAAGGTAAAATAAAAGTCAGTGTGGGGGAAGATGGGCTTCACAAAACGTTTTTCACATGTATTTCAACTGTAAAGGTCAAAAGGAAAGGGAAGGTGGAATAAGAGGATACCTGATTCGTCTGCAAAATATGCCTTGAAAAATCCCCAGTAAGCTTCCAGGCCATGCATTTAAATCTGACATATTTGCAAATGCTATTCTGGATTTAATATCTGGCGGACTTATGTACTCTTTTGAATCAGCAAGGATTCCTTCAGTGCAATGGAAACAACCCAGCGTTGCTTTCTTTGAGAAAGCCGCAGGTGGGAAAATTAATTTCTGGATTAGCCCCTTTCATCTTTAGTTTTACAGAGTGGAAAGGAAACGTTGCTTTTGGTTGAAAATATAATTAAACCCTTTGGGGAGCTGGTTACCACTGTCCCCCTGCCCCAAAACACATAGGTGTATGTTGCTCTTAGGGTCCCCCCCTCCCCCCGCACATAAGCAAGTTTAAAAAGTGGTTTTAAAGTCTGAAAAAAAATATCAGAGGGTTGGAGACTGAAGGATTTGATAGGGCAACCAGCTATGGGCTGTGAAAAGCTGGGCCTCTAGGGGGCAGCAAAGAAATGCAGAAAACTAATGTTATTCTGCCATCAGCTGGTCATCTAAAACCTTGCAGCCCAGATCTGATAGTCCTAAAATGTGGAGCTTTTTAGTACCTATGGGGGAAAAAACTGATGGAAAGCATGATCGAACTTTATAAGATTATCAACGGAGTGGAGCGAGTAAATAAAAGTAAGATTCTTGTGTTGTCACTATGCTTAAAACTTGGGGTTATCCAGAAAAATGGATTGGTAGGCAGGGCAAAAGGACTTCTTCACAAAACACATCAGTCATGAGCAAGACATGTTAGACAAGTCACATGAGGTGACTGTTAAGATGCATAGCTTTTAAGGATGCGCTTCAATATACTGATAAAGAAATAGAGGTCTATCAGTGGCAGCTGGGGAAGGACAACAGAGAACCCTAAAAAGCCGTAAGGACCTATTCCATGGAGAAGAAAAATCCAAAATCTATCATATTTTTATTGGGACCAATTGAAGAACCCCCAAAGCCAATGCAACATAATGGTTCAAGAACTGGATGTGGAACCCACTGGGTGTCCCAGTCTGGTTCTCTCATTCACTTTGCCTGCAGGTTTCCTGAGAAGAAAAGATGAGACTGACCCCATATGCTGCCTGGAGCTCTTTTGAGGAAAGAGCTCTCCTAAAATAACCATGGATGGACTTCAACTCCCAGAATACCCCAGCTAGAATTCTAGGAGTTGAAGTCCACCCATACTGGCTGGGGTATTCTGGGAGTTGAAGTCCATGCATTTTAAAGTTGCCAAGTTTGAGAAACACTGCTGTAGATGATCTAGCGGATTCGTTATCTTCTTCCACGTTCACCAGGAAGAAGGAAAAAACCCAGCTCAGACTGCACGGCATTCATGGAGCTTTGAGTCACAGCAGTTCCTATCTCATCACTTTTATTCTCAACATCTTCCTTC